GTGCCCTCAATTTTAGTTTTTCGAGGGCTCAAGTAGGGCCTGTTGGAGATGAGGGTGCAAGTTTGAGGCGATTTGCCTCTGATTTTGGGTGAGAGAAAAAACATGGCGGGATTTCGTACGCTCTTGGAGATTATTTTATTGCACATTGTCCAAATTGGATTTTAGATGGAGTTTTTAGGTGTTGGAGTTGTCCTGAGAGCATCTCCAGCATTTCATGAGTCTTTTTTTTTCCCGAAACTTGATTTTAGGCATGAGCATGGCTAAGGAAAACAGGAGTCCAACAGTTCCCAAAACGAACTATCTTTCTGCGCCGATCCACGCTATGGAAAAAAATAAGAAACATGCGGCAAGATACGCGAGTCCACAGGACTCCACATCCGTGTTGGCGCGGGCTTCTCCTCCTTCTTCTAGTTTTTTTTTTTTTGCATGTGACACCAAGTCTCTGCTGCGGTGTGCCTGCTTCAGCAACAGCCACGGTGCTATCAGACGCACTGTCGGCCCTTTTCAGAAGGCCGATAGGGCCTATTGGCCAGCCGTGAGCCGACAAGTGCCTGCTCCACTCCGTCCAGCAACCTGTGCTACTGTACGTTACCTGTGTACGTATTCTCGGAGAACAGCCACGCTGCTACTGTACGTACCTGTCGGGCTTTCGTAGGCCGATAGGGCCTATCGGCCAGCCGTGAGCCGACAAGTGCCTGCTCCACTCCGTCCAGTAACCTGTGCTACTGTACGTTACCTGTGTACGTATTCTCGGAGAACAGCCACGCTGCTACTGTACGTACCTGTCGGGCTTTCGTAGGCCGATAGGTCCTATCGGCCAGCCGTGAGCCGACAAGTGCCTGCTCCACTCCATCCAGCTATCTGTGCTACTGTACGTTACATGTGTACGTATGTTATGCTTCATGTGGGTCCGTCCGCTAGGCGCTATCTATCTACTGTAGAGTTTCCATGTGCCCGTACGTTATCTGCTATGTACCTATATACTGCCACGTGCCCGTACGATATCTTACTGTACATACTACCGTATGCCCGTATAGCATCCCGCCCCGCGCAGAATGTGTCCAAACTGTTCGTCCCTTATATACCTATATACTATATCTATATCTATATCTACATCTGCATCTATATATATATATATATAATTTTATATTTCTAATTCTCATTAGCATTCTATCCTGTGGTACAGGTGGTTTACATCAGCCACCACTAACACATACATCTTCATTCAAGCTATTTGGATTAGCAAACCACATTATTCACTAACATATATTTAGTTGTCCACGTTAGAGTGCTAAAATCATCCACTGTCATATACTACGGTAGTTATTCATTCATATTTAAGTAAATATATAGTAGCATAGTTTTATCTACAATTCTCACAACAACGCGACGTATTCTTTTAATATTATATATTGGTGAATCTTACTTCCTTCCTTCTATATATATGCACAGGCATACCGCATAGGCGGCATAGCCAGTCGAGAGGGCCAAAGATCGAGCAAACATGGCCGTCTTCATCAGCTCCTCCGGCATGTGCGGCTCGCCAAGGCGCGCTACGGCGACGACGACGACGCTCCTACTCGCACTAGCCGCCGGCGGCGGCCTCCTCCTGGCGCCGGTCGTGGCACGCGGGTCACCCGAGCACGACAAGCAGCAGCATGAGGACGACAGCATCTTGGGGCTGCCGGGCCAGCCCAACGGCGTGGCGTTCGGCATGTACGGCGGCTACGTGACCATCGACGACCACAACAGCCGCGCGCTCTACTACTGGTTCCAAGAGGGCCCGGGTGCTCCTCCATCGGCCTAGGCGCCATGCAGGAGCTCGGCGCGTTCCGCGTCCACATCAACGAGTACGCATGGAACAGAGGTAGCTAGCTAGCTAGTATGCATGGAACAAAGGCTGCATGCACTAATAGATGCCGCATGCATGCATGCATGTGGCGGTGAACCTCGCTCGTATCACACGTAGTATATGTCACCGTACGTTCGTTCATGCATGCAGCCGCGAACATACTCTTCGTAGAGTCGCCGGCCGGTGTGGGGTTCTCTTACAGCAACACCAGCTCCGACCTATCCATGGGCGACGACAAAATGGGTAGGTGAAAACCATATGGCAAATATTAATTACCCATTTATTTGTACACTCCGTCTCAAAATGAACATCATTCTTACTTGTCAAGAAATCAAACATTATCAAATTTTGACAAAAAACATCATGTTTGCCAGCAGTGAATTGTCAAGAAATCAAATTTGGTCAAGAAATCAAACATCATTCTTACTTGTCAAGAAATCAAACATCATCCGAATCTAAGTCCCTGATCGCCAGCAGTGAATTGACGTGTTTGCGACATTTTATCTTCCAAATTTGTACAGCAACTCAATTTGATACCTTACTACGAGTTTGACTACTCTCTGAGGAGATGACAACAAAACAGGTCTCGTCAAGTTTGGACTTAGCCACGGTAAAAAACCAGACTTAGCCATGGTCATAAATTCTAGACTTTTAGTCATATTTCCACGTGCTCACAGGTCATGACGTGCTTACATGTCAAGAGGTGTGTTGCATCCGTGCTTCGACGCCTGCACATGCACGTCATGAGCCCCATTCGAGAGCATTGGCGATGTGCGGTCAAAGCCCCATTGGAGACTGCCTGCCCCGTTGTATTGTTATGAGAAAAATTGGTGCCCACATCCCATCGCCCCCTCCTTCAGCCAGACACACGCCAATAAATACCACGGCCATGCAGGCAACATAATGGCTCATAAATGGGGACAAGGAGAGAGAGCGCGAGGCTGCGACAAGGGATCAATCAGTGAAACAGGTTTATCACCACGGGCCGGCCAGCAGGCTAGTATCGATTTTCTCGAGGTCGACGCCGTAGCAATTGACGCCGAGCTCATGTCACGTCCGCGCCACGTAGACAGCCACGTCAACGGCATGCAGAAAATGACCCTGGACCTCAATTGGCGCCGAGACGTGTAAGCTCGTCGGATGAGGAAGAGGAGCCATGCGAAGATTCGCCAAAGGAGAGGAGTTGTGCGGTATTCGTCGAGAGGATCTTGTCGTACGGGATTCGTCGGGAGGATCTTTCCCGGCGATGTCGGTCCTCGTTCATTGTGCCTCACCAGTGAAGGTAGACGATCCAAGATCCGTCAGGAGGGCCAGTGGATTCGCCCCAAGAGGAGAAGACACCATGTCGGGACCTTGCCCGAGAGGAGAGGAGGCGTCGGAGACCTCTTGCCAAGAGCCGCACCGGGGGAGGGATTCACGGGAGGGGAGCCGCGCCGGCGATAGCGGAGGAGGCAACGCGGCACCGCGTGCCGATGGGGCGGGCGTGGTTCAGTTCCCATATGCGGTCGAGGAGGAGAATGACGATAATTATTGTTTGAGGGCTTGAGACAAGGCCCCTAGGAACGAGGGGTGGGGTGCTTTTAGGAGCCTCTCAAATTTAGGGGCTCTAGTAGAGCCTCGCTGGAGCCTGTTTTTTTGGTAGTGCCCTCAATTTTAGTTTTTCGAGGGCTCAAGTAGGGCCTGTTGGAGATGAGGGTGCAAGTTTGAGGCGATTTGCCTCTGATTTTGGGTGAGAGAAAAAACATGGCGGGATTTAAATGACGCTCTTGGAGATTATTTTATTGCACATTGTCCAAATTGGATTTTAGATGGAGTTTTTAGGTGTTGGAGTTGTCTGAGAGCATCTCCAGCATTTCATGAGAGTTTTTTTTTCCCGAAACTTGATTTTAGGCATGAGCATGGCTAAGGAAAACAGGAGTCCAACAGTTCCCAAAACGAACTATCTTTTCTGCGCCGATCCACGCTATGGAAAAAATAAGAAACATGCGGCAAGATACGCGAGTCCACAGGACTCCACATCCGTGTTGGCGCGGGCTTCTCCTCCTTCTTCTAGTTTTTTTTTTTTGCATGTGACACCAAGTCTCTCTGCTGCGGTGTGCCTGCTTCAGCAACAGCCACGGTGTGCTCTATCAGACGCACTGTCGGCCTTTCGAGGGCCGAGGGGCCTATTGGCCAGCCGCCGTGAGCCGACAAGTGCCTGCTCCACTCCGTCCAGCAACCTGTGCTACTGTACGTTACCTGTGTACGTATTCTCGGAGAACAGCCACGCTGCTACTGTGCACGCACTGTCGGGCTTTTCGAGGCCGATAGGGGGCCTATCGGCCAGCCGTGAGCCGACAAGTGCCCTGCTCCACTCCGTCCAGTAACCTGTGCTACTGCACGTTACCTGTGTACGTATTCTCGGAGAACAGCCACGCTGCTACTGTGCGTACCTGTCGGGCTTTTCAGAGGCCGATAGGTCCTATCGGCCAGCCGTGAGCCGACAAGTGCCTGCTCCACTCCATCCAGCTATCTGTGCTACTGTACGTTACATGTGTACGTATGTTATGCTTCATGTGGGTCCGTCCGCTAGGCGCTATCTATCTACTGTAGAGTTTCCATGTGCCCGTACGTTATCTGCTATGTACCTATATACTGCCACGTGCCCGTACGATATCTTACTGTACATACTACCGTATGCCCGTATAGCATCCCGCCCCGCGCAGAATGTGTCCAAACTGTTCGTCCCTCATATACCTACTACCATATCTATATCTACATCTGCATCTATATATATATATATATAATTTTATATTTCTAATTCTCATTAGCATTCTATCCTGTGGTACAGGTGGTTTACATCAGCCACCACTAACACATACATCTTCATTCAAGCTATTTGGATTAGCAAACCACATTATTCACTAACATATATTTAGTTGTCCACGTTAGAGTGCTAAAATCATCCACTGTCATATACTACGGTAGTTATTCATTCATATTTAAGTAAATATATAGTAGCATAGTTTTATCTACAATTCTCACAACAACGCGACGTATTCTTTTAATATTATATATTGGTGAATCTTACTTCCTTCCTTCTATATATATGCACAGGCATACCGCATAGGCGGCATAGCCAGTCGAGAGGGCCAAAGATCGAGCAAACATGGCCGTCTTCATCAGCTCCTCCGGCATGTGCGGCTCGCCAAGGCGCGCTACGGCGACGACGACGACGCTCCTACTCGCACTAGCCGCCGGCGGCGGCCTCCTCCTGGCGCCGGTCGTGGCACGCGGGTCACCCGAGCACGACAAGCAGCAGCATGAGGACGACAGCATCTTGGGGCTGCCGGGCCAGCCCAACGGCGTGGCGTTCGGCATGTACGGCGGCTACGTGACCATCGACGACCACAACAGCCGCGCGCTCTACTACTGGTTCCAAGAGGGCCCGGGTGCTCCTCCATCGGCCTAGGCGCCATGCAGGAGCTCGGCGCGTTCCGCGTCCACATCAACGAGTACGCATGGAACAGAGGTAGCTAGCTAGCTAGTATGCATGGAACAAAGGCTGCATGCACTAATAGATGCCGCATGCATGCATGCATGTGGCGGTGAACCTCGCTCGTATCACACGTAGTATATGTCACCGTACGTTCGTTCATGCATGCAGCCGCGAACATACTCTTCGTAGAGTCGCCGGCCGGTGTGGGGTTCTCTTACAGCAACACCAGCTCCGACCTATCCATGGGCGACGACAAAATGGGTAGGTGAAAACCATATGGCAAATATTAATTACCCATTTATTTGTACACTCCGTCTCAAAATGAACATCATTCTTACTTGTCAAGAAATCAAACATTATCAAATTTTGACAAAAAAACATCATGTTTGCCAGCAGTGAATTGTCAAGAAATCAAATTTGGTCAAGAAATCAAACATCATTCTTACTTGTCAAGAAATCAAACATCATCCGAATCTAAGTCCCTGATCGCCAGCAGTGAATTGACGTGTTTGCGACATTTTATCTTCCAAATTTGTACAGCAACTCAATTTGATACCTTACTACGAGTTTGACTACTCTCTGAGGAGATGACAACAAAACAGGTCTCGTCAAGTTTGGACTTAGCCACGGTAAAAAACCAGACTTAGCCATGGTCATAAATTCTAGACTTTTAGTCATATTTCCACGTGCTCACAGGTCATGACGTGCTTACATGTCAAGAGGTGTGTTGCATCCGTGCTTCGACGCCTGCACATGCACGTCATGAGCCCCATTCGAGAGCATTGGCGATGTGCGGTCAAAGCCCCATTGGAGACTGCCTGCCCCGTTGTATTGTTATGAGAAAAATTGGTGCCCACATCCCATCGCCCCCTCCTTCAGCCAGACACACGCCAATAAATACCACGGCCATGCAGGCAACATAATGGCTCATAAATGGGGACAAGGAGAGAGAGCGAGCGAGACTGCGACAAGGGATCAATCAGTGAAACAGGTTTATCACCACGGGCCGGCCAGCAGGCTAGTATCGATTTTCTCGAGGTCGACGCCGTAGCAATTGACGCCGAGCTCATGTCACGTCCGCGCCACGTAGACAGCCACGTCAACGGCATGCAGAAAATGACCCTGGACCTCAATTGGCGCCGAGACGTGTAAGCTCGTCGGATGAGGAAGAGGAGCCATGCGAAGATTCGCCAAAGGAGAGGAGTTGTGCGGTATTCGTCGAGAGGATCTTGTCGTACGGGATTCGTCGGGAGGATCTTTCCCGGCGATGTCGGTCCTCGTTCATTGTGCCTCACCAGTGAAGGTAGACGATCCAAGATCCGTCAGGAGGGCCAGTGGATTCGCCCCAAGAGGAGAAGACACCATGTCGGGACCTTGCCCGAGAGGAGAGGAGGCGTCGGAGACCTCGCTGAAGAGCCGCACCGGGGGAGGGATTCACGGGAGGGCAGCAGCGGCGGCGATAGCGGAGGAGGCAACGCGGCACCGCGTGCCGATGGGGCGGGCGTGGTTCAGTTCCCATATGCGGTCGAGGAGGAGAATGACGATAATTATTGTTTGAGGGCTTGAGACAAGGCCCCTAGGAACGAGGGGTGGGGTGCTTTTAGGAGCCTCTCAAATTTAGGGGCTCTAGTAGAGCCTCGCTGGAGCCTGTTTTTTTGGTAGTGCCCTCAATTTTAGTTTTTCGAGGGCTCAAGTAGGGCCTGTTGGAGATGAGGGTGCAAGTTTGAGGCGATTTGCCTCTGATTTTGGGTGAGAGAAAAAACATGGCGGGATTTCGTACGCTCTTGGAGATTATTTTATTGCACATTGTCCAAATTGGATTTTAGATGGAGTTTTTAGGTGTTGGAGTTGTCCTGAGAGCATCTCCAGCATTTCATGAGTCTTTTTTTTCCCGAAACTTGATTTTAGGCATGAGCATGGCTAAGGAAAACAGGAGTCCAACAGTTCCCAAAACGAACTATCTTTCTGCGCCGATCCACGCTATGGAAAAAAATAAGAAACATGCGGCAAGATACGCGAGTCCACAGGACTCCACATCCGTGTTGGCGCGGGCTTCTCCTCCTTCTTCTAGTTTTTTTTTTTTTTTTTGCATGTGACACCAAGTCTCCGCTGCGGTGTGCCTGCTTTCAGCAACAGCCACGGTGCTATCTGACGCACTGTCGGCCTTTCAGAGGCCGATATAGGGGCCTATTGGCCAGCCGTGAGCCGACAAGTGCCTGCTCCACTCCGTCCAGCAACCTGTGCTACTGTACGTTACCTGTGTACGTATTCTCGGAGAACAGCCACGCTGCTACTGTACGTACCTGTCGGGCTTTCGTAGGCCGATAGGGCCTATCGGCCAGCCGTGAGCCGACAAGTGCCTGCTCCACTCCGTCCAGTAACCTGTGCTACTGTACGTTACCTGTGTACGTATTCTCGGAGAACAGCCACGCTGCTACTGTACGTACCTGTCGGGCTTTCGTAGGCCGATAGGTCCTATCGGCCAGCCGTGAGCCGACAAGTGCCTGCTCCACTCCATCCAGCTATCTGTGCTACTGTACGTTACATGTGTACGTATGTTATGCTTCATGTGGGTCCGTCCGCTAGGCGCTATCTATCTACTGTAGAGTTTCCATGTGCCCGTACGTTATCTGCTATGTACCTATATACTGCCACGTGCCCGTACGATATCTTACTGTACATACTACCGTATGCCCGTATAGCATCCCGCCCCGCGCAGAATGTGTCCAAACTGTTCGTCCCTCATATACCTACTACCATATCTATATCTACATCTGCATCTATATATATATATATATAATTTTATATTTCTAATTCTCATTAGCATTCTATCCTGTGGTACAGGTGGTTTACATCAGCCACCACTAACACATACATCTTCATTCAAGCTATTTGGATTAGCAAACCACATTATTCACTAACATATATTTAGTTGTCCACGTTAGAGTGCTAAAATCATCCACTGTCATATACTACGGTAGTTATTCATTCATATTTAAGTAAATATATAGTAGCATAGTTTTATCTACAATTCTCACAACAAACGACGTATTCTTTTAATATTATATATTGGTGAATCTTACTTCCTTCCTTCTATATATATGCACAGGCATACCGCATAGGCGGCATAGCCCGATCGAGAGGGCCAAAGATCGAGCAAACATGGCCGTCTTCATCAGCTCCTCCGGCATGTGTGCGGTTTCGCCAAGGCGGCGCTTCTGGCGACGACGACGACGCGCTCCTACTCGCACTAGCCGCCGCGGCGGCGCCTCCTCTGGCGCCGGTCGTGGCACGCGGGTCACCCGAAAGCACGACAAGCAAAGCCACTCGCCAAGAGGGCAAGCATGAGGACGACAGCATCTTTTGGGGCTGGCGGGCGGCCAGCGGCGTGGCGTTCGGCATGTCTGCGGCGGCTACGTGACCATCGACGACCACAACAATGAGTACGCATGGGCTCTACCATCTGGTTCCAAGAGGCCGGGTGCTCCTCCATCGGCCTAGGCGCCATGCACGGAGCAACATATGCTCGGCGTTCGCATCGCCCACATCAACATAGTACGCATGGAGCAAAGAGGTAGCTAGCTAGCTAGTATGCATGGAACAAAGGCTGCATGCACTAATAGATGTCTGCTTTGCTTCCTCTGTTTCGCTAACTTCAGACATGTGGTCTGGTAATGCTAAGGAGGACTACGTAAGTGTTGTTGCTCATTATGTGAATGCTGATTGGGAGTTATAGAAAAAAAAAGGTTATTGGTCTTAGGTTGATTGAGGTGAAACATACTGGTGAATAATATTGCTGAAAGAATTGCTTGTGTGATTGAGAAGTATGGTCTGATTGACAAGGTTTTCTCTGTAACTCTAGACAATGCTTCTTCTAATGCTAAGGCTATGAATATTTTGACACATATGTTTGCTGATTATTTGTGTCCTGATCCTACAACTGAGCATGTAGATCCTTCGAATCGTAAGTATAGTTTTATGCATCAACGTTGTGCTTGTCATATCATTAATCTGATTATAAAATCTGGTTTAAAAAGATTCAAACCTTACTTAGAAGATTTTAGATATGCTATTAACTTCTTAAATTTCTCTAATCAAACACTATGGGGAAGAATCTTTGGAGGCCCTGGATCTGGTGTTGTTGGTCCTTTCGCTGCCTCTACCCCCACTTCATCTTCATCTGGTTCTGTTATTTGTGAGCTCTTAGTTTATCTGGACAGTGACAATGTCACTGCATATGAGGATGATTTTAATTTACTTCTCTGGTGGCGTGACCACAAACTAACGTATCCAATCCTATCTATCATGGCTAGAGATATTATGTCTATTTCTGTTTCTACTGTCTCTTCAGAATTATGTTTCAGCTTGGCAAGAAGGATCATTGAAGAGCGGCGACGAAGTTTGTTGCCTAAAACTGTGGAGATGCTGAGTTGCATAAAGGATTGGGAGTTAGGAGAAAGAAGGTTACAACATGCTGTTGATAACCAAGAGTTGGAAGACTCCTTCAAGAATATGTATCTCGATGTACATGAGTCTAGGGCGGCTGCTGCTGGTACATTTGGGGGTGCTGCTGATACTTAGCATGACATTGAGACTTCAGAGTTGAGAGAATAGAGAGTGATCTGTTATCTATCTATTTGTATCTGTAAACTGTAATTAAGAGCCGTGCTGCACTCTTTTTCTTTTTTTAAGGTTTTTCACAAGGGTGAGTTTTATCTATAAAGGTTTTTAACGAGACAGCATTGCACAAATAGCTTATTTATCTTAATTGTCTGTTGTCTCATTTGATGTGTTTTGGTTTGTTGGATTTGATCACTGTGTGTTGAATGAGTTAGACTTGTCAATTCTGATTGTGAATGTGAAATTTGTTAAGTGTTGTATGAGAGGAAATTTTTGAGGTGATTTAAGATAGCCGGGCCGTGGGCTGGCACGGCCCGTAGATCTGGTCATGCTCAGCAGACGGACGGCACGAGGCGCGCGTCCGAGAGGCCTGGTTCCGCTCGCAGGATCATCCCTTGTCCCTAAGCTAAGCTCCCTACAATGGCAAGATGCCTGCAATTTAAACATAGCGACAGACCATTGAAGGCGTTGCGTGTAGAGGATCACGGCCACCGTCCTGTTTGTTTAGCTGATAAGCCATGACTAAAAATACTGTTGGCTGATTTGTTGAAAAAATATGGCTTATAAGCCAAGCGAACAGGGTACCCATCAGTGTCCTGCCGGACGACATCCTGACAGGGATAATCACCTGGCTGCCGATCCGGGATGCCGTGGTCACCGGCGGTGTCTCGACGAGGTGGAGGCACTTGTGGAAGTACGTCCCCATCCTCACTCCGCGCTACATCAACATGAAAGGCAAGGGCCCTAGGAGCGAGCAGGCGGACCGGTTCGCGGGCGTGGTGAGAACTGTCCTGTGCCACCACGGCGGCGTAGGCGTCAACAGATTATTTTTCGCCCTCCCGCTCACATGCTGTTGCCACGCCGCCGAGCTGGACCAAGTTATGGAGTTCGTGGCAGCAGCCAGGACACGGCACCTTGGATTTTCGCTCGCCAACAACCACTGCAGCGAGCACGCTGGGCCACCTTACGACTTCCCCCACTGGCGTTTCGCCGGCGGTCATCTGCAAAGGCTACTCCTGTGCGAGGTTGGTCTCGCCATGGCACCGCAGAGGAACCTCGAGGGCCTGGCACAACTGACATATCTTGACCTCACCTGCGTCGCAGTGGATGACGGCGGTGTCGCGAACATCCTCTCCACTTGTGGCGCGCTCATCACCCTCTATCTTCAGCAGTGCCAGCAGCTTGTCCGCGTGAACATGTCGCACGCCCGTCTGCGTGTGCTGGACGTCCGTCAATGTGGTAATTTGAAGAGCATAACTATACAATCAAGCACCCTGATCCAGTTGGTGTACAAAGGTCACAAAGTCGACATCAAGTACGGCCACACGCCAGCCATCCTGAAGCTCAGGATCTTGTTCTGCATGGCGAACGAATGCCCACTTGACTGCGTCGGCAGTGCAGGAGCCCTCCCCAACCTCAAGCAGCTTTTCTTGGAGTTTCCTTCGCCTCTGCATGCCGCCACTTCTACCCAGCTCCAAGGTGTACAGCACAATTGTTGGTTTGCGGGCCTGAACCAAATCGTGCTGCTCCTCAAGACCCCATGGAAAGAGCTTATCAGCTCAGTGGCTTACCTCCTCATCGCCACACCTTTGGTCAAGGAGCTGCGTGTCGAGACTTACAGCAACCTGCCAGCGTCACCACCGAACAGCCTGATGATCCAATGGCCACAGCGCTGCTCGATGAAGAAGCTCCAGAGCATCATCATCGGTGGATTCAGCGGGGAGCCGGAGCTGATGGAACTAACATTTTTCCTCCTGCAAAGGTCTCCGGCGCTCCGGACACTGGCCATCGACACGCACAGGCGGCATCTTCAACCTGGCTACAAGGCCTGGAACAGAGAGGCGTGCTTGAAGAGAGAGGAGGCGGAAGACCATGTGAGGTGCTACTACGCAAGAGGTGTTGCGTGGACAGACTTGGTGCCGAAGATCCAATCAACTGTCAAGTTCACCATCCTCTGAGTTATGTACCAATTGGAATTGGTTTAAAGATCCGTTGATGCGTTAAAACATCGGAGTTTGCAACTTTGGATCGCGAACCTACTGGCATAAATCCTTTTGTGCCAAGATTAATAGATACCTGGTGAAGAACAATGCTATCCTTTTGTGCCAGGATTAATAGATGCCTGGTGAAGAACAGTGTTATCCTTTTGTGCCAGGGTTAAATATTATCCTTTTGTTGCAGGATTAATAGATATACATGGTGAAGAACAATGTTGAGACATGTCATGGTGGGGTTCACATTTGGAAGATGCATTCTATTGAATTTGTTAGAGGGCTTTTGTATTGCATAAACATGACTGCATTATGTTGTGCAATTTGAAACTAACAAGAGGTGGTTGGTCCGAGTCAGGGGAAGCTAAAACATGTGTCCTGTCTGCTGTCTGACTGTCTTCTCATGATGTGTGTAGGTCAATAGAATCGGTACAGTGATCAGTGGCGAGATGATCATTGCTTTACATGACAGTTGTGTGTGTTGCTATTACTATGGGGTAGCATGCTCAAGTGTAGAAGGGGCAAGAGGCTTGTTCTGTCATCACAAGAGGGAGGACGACGGTTAGCAGTGTCTTTGTGAACCTGCTTTGCTGGCTTGAAGTCTTTCTCGCTTTATATGTGTTATTATATTATAGATGCTCAAGATCTTGTTAATTAGTTCTTATAGTTTATCTAGTCTATTTACAGGCTGCGTGCGGCCGCATGCCGTAGATGTCAGAAACAGCTTCATCTTCTGAAAAAAGAATTTCAAGTTGAACACTAGGTGGAATTTTTTAGTGACCTACTAAATCCACTTCCCAACTCTCTGTTGGGTCGGCATCCAAGTTGATGCCACGCAAAGTTTATCCAAAATTCAAGTTGCTATTTAACTTCACAACCACGGCACAGGTGCTTTGCATCCTGCTTTGAAAAAAAAACAAATGTGTCAGCCAACTGACCACTGATCAGTAAGGAGGTGAGGGCTTCTTCTGAAAGAAACTGGGAGCATGCAGACACCAACGGCCCTGCTGGGCCAGCATTGGGCTTGGGCTACAAATGGCACATAAAACAAATGGTGGCCCACTCCAGGCTTGTCAAGCGAGTTAATCTGGTCGACAACGACATGCTGTTCCCGTTCAGTAATTTCGTCGATCGCCATGCCCACACATGCATCACAAAAGCCGCTCACTGCATAGCATATTGCCAGATACTATGGGGTCCCGCTACTGTCGTTTTGGAGCGCCAGGTAATTGTGAACCATATAGGATTAATATATATTTTACTTTATTTTATTTTGATTTGATTAAAATGAAAACATCTGGCTGTGTCAGTGGCAGCATGCTAGCTAATAATGCTGCAGTAGCAGAGTGGTGCCGCCAGCCACTTGCAAATGCATGACAACCTACTACTAACAGCGTATCCTGCATGATCGAGCTAGTGGTCATGCACGCCTATAAAAACCCAAAACAAGAGGTTTCGCGGCCACAAAAACACCACTCCTATTTGCTAATGCACCGTGCACGTACGTATGGTAGGTTAAGCAGGTTGGACACGACGACGATGGTCGCTGCAATGTCCAACTCACGGCAAAGGCACGTCCCATCTATTCGAATAGAAACAACATATATCTCTTTTATTTTTCTTTTCTTTTTTTGCGAGGAGGATCTCTTTTAATTTGGCCCTACCCTGAAGCGACAGGTTGATATGTGTGCTGTGGCTGATGGCTACCGGCCAGCGTCCTACCACCCTTTGCAGTTTGCACCGTCCTTTCACCTTTTCTCCACTTTCGCTAATGAAAAGGGATAGTCGAGATTGATTAATCATTGTCATAAACCCCTCTCTCTCTCTCTAGATTTACGCACCTCTCCTCCTTTTGTCTCTCTTTATTTGTTGCTTCTAGATCGATCGAGCTCGCTCCTCCCTCTCTTTCTTAAAGGGGTCGGAGATCTTTATTCGAGTAGATTTTTTTTTACTCCACTTCTTTTGCTTGCCTCCTTGGGGCCGTCCAATCCACTTTTGCTACCCTTTTTATTTGCGCCTGATGATGCGATGCTAGCTCCAACTCCAAGCTGCACTTGCTTTGTTTTTGTGTGCTTTTTTGGGCTAGCCGACTTTAGCCTTTTTGTCATCACGAGACATTGTATGCTTCGATTTATCAAAAACCAATACTAATACACACACACACACTAGTATGATTAATTCCACCAAAAATTGAACAGGCACAGTCTGTATGGTTCGGTGGCTACAAGGCATGCCTGTGCTGTGGGGTTTCCATTTTCCAAGGTGGAGCCTGCCCTGGACGAGTGATGATAGCGTAAGATGACGCTGCTTGGTCACTGAAGAGTGAAGAGGCTCCCGGGATTGTTGGACACCACGTCCAGACAGCGACGTACTTGAGCAACCTGCCGCACGATGGCGACGCTGTCCAGTTCACATGTAGCAGCCGCTTTAAAGTACGGTTTGGATCCGGATTCTAAAAATACAAATAGAGAAAATCTCAAAATCATTAAATCTCATCCAAACACCCTACGATCTAGAGGATTCTTGGGCACAAACACAAAATTCAAAAAAAAATCAGAGATTATTTTTATTCAGAAACCGGATTTTAGAATCCAATCAAAGCGGGGCCTAAAACGGTGAGGGACTCATGATACAACACACACACACCATGCTAGTGCGTTGTTTACAGTATACTCGGCTTGTTTCGATCGGCGCCTTCAGGTTTGGCCAGATAAGCGAGGTTGGATTATTGAGTAATTATGAATTGGAGTAACGGATTTGCTAGCGTCCGGAAGTGTTGGCCTAAACGTTTAAATGGACTAAACAGTCACCTACCGTTTAGCTATTTATTCAGATTAAATAGCCATTTAAACAGACTAAACGGTGATTAAATAGGATAAATGGCTGATTAAATGGATACGGTATTCCAATGTGTAGCGTTTACACGGTGTGTACACCGACTAAACGACCGTGTACGTGAACAGTGGCATCCAGACGTCGATCTGGGGCGCTAACATCGGACGGTGCTCCCTGAGCCACGACTGACACACCCACCTCCCTCGCGCCTGCACCCATCTTGCTCCGGAGGCCGCGCGGGCCCATGCATGCATGGGGACCACCCCGCGCCTGCTCCGTTTCGTGCGCCTGTATGCACGCAACAACACCGGCACTAGCAGGCGCGTGCGGTGACCCATGGTGGCACGGTGACCCACGGCGGCGCACAAGTAGCAAAGCAGATGTGCTTCCCCGAGATCTACTTTTGAAACATCCAAATGAAACACTTGAAACATGCGTGTATAGCCATAGCAACATGTGCAACACCAGATCTACTTTTAAAACATCCAAATGAAATATTTGCAACATACGTCGAAAATAGACGAAACACTTGAAACATGTGCTTCAAACATGCGTGTATAGCCACTGCAACATGTGCAACACCAAGATCTACATTTGAAACATTCAGATAAAATATTTGCAACATACGTCTGAAACACATGAAACATACGCTTGCAACATGTGTATATAGCTATTGCAACATAGACAACATCCAGATGTCCGAAACACCGAAACACTTGAAACACAACATCGCCGGCGACCAAGGCCTACCTGGTGGGGAACTGTGGTTGCCCCATCGTCGACGGATGCTGGGGACTCGACGGCAACGGACTTGGAGGCGGCGGCGAAGGGCTCGGCTTCGACAACCGCGGCGGCATGCTCGGCATCAAGCTTCGGGACGGCGCCATAGCGCTGGGAGAGGACGCTAAGCGCCGTGAGCATCTGTACAAGGCGGCGCACCACGACATCGCGCATGCGCTGCGACGGCGGCTCGATCTTGAGCGATAGGAGTAGCACTCCGTGGCCTTGAGCTTGCGGCAGCCGTCTGTAACAGCTCTGGTGTTACGAGCTCGTTTAGCATCGAGATTTAGGCCTAAGAAAAATTTCCGAATCGAGTTTCTCGGATTTTTAATTTAAAACGCACTTGATGTGATAAGTGAATCCGGTGTGACTTAGTTTTGTGGATTCAAATAAACGTCCAAGTTAAATTACTCAATGCGTAAAGATATTTAGGAATGTCGGACAATAATCCTAGCAAATAGATAGCGAATGGCTTGTTTATTTGATTAGGCATAAAAAATAATTTCTATAAACAAAAAATTGTTGAAAGTAAATTTGCTAAATAATAAAACCTTAGAGCTTTAGTTATGCTTGTACATGCATAAAGTTGTTTTAGAAAATGAATTTTTGGAAGTTAAAGTAATAAAAAAATATAAACATGAGAAATCATATCATCAGCAGGATATGAACGTCGTGAATATGTTGGTATGCTTATTTGAGTGTCAATGTGATGTTGTTGGTTTAAAAGTAATGATGAGAGTACCGCTGGCCACTCGACTCATCTACCTCGCCGGTACGACACGCGCGTTATGAGATAGGACCAAGCTTGCTTCCCCTCCCTCTGCTGGTCTTGCCATGTTTGCCTGACGGTTGTCTCATGCGTTCACATGCCTCGTCTCAGCCGGTTGGCACCTGTCCTGCTTTGTCCTTGCGGCCGCCGTGGTTTGTGGAGAAGAGCCTTTGTTATTGCAGCGGAGCCCGCATCCTGAACAAGTTCATCGCATAGGGGCGTCTGTAAATGAGCACGTGGTTCTGCCCCCTGCCTACGTCGCGTCCTCTCACTTCCCTGAGCGCGCGCTGGTGCGCCGCTGTCGTCCAACTCGTTGCATCACCCTGCAGCACCATCAATGCCCTTGTCGTGCTCTCTGCTCTCTGACCTTGCTTGTCTTGTCAGCCTCTGCTTGTCTCTGCTCCACTTTTCCCTCTACGAGACAAGCAGGCCGGTCACCTCCGAGCTACTGCTGTTGCTCCCCGCTCTGCACCGGCGCCCATTCTTTTTCCTCCTTGCGAGCGCGCCAGTGCCCGGTTGTGGCCGCGCACCACCTCATGCTGAACCGACTGCTCCTTCGCCGCTCCACCTTCGCCGTCGGGTG